GGCAGTCCCTGCTGACTGCATTGTATCTTTGAAGATATTCAAAAAGCTGTCAAGATACAAGGACCTTGAAATAGAAATCTCGAAAATGTGGCATATGGGAACATCAACAATCCCTGTTGTAGTTGGAGCCCTAGGACTGGTTGGAAAAGATAGGAGTAGACTAATTGAATGGATTCCTGGAAGTCCATGTCTCAAGGAGATACAAAAAATTGTTCTGACAAGTACAGCCCACACTTTACGAAGATCTATGTAATATTTTTTTTTTTTTTTTTTGTCCATGGAAAGTGTCATGCTGCCATTTCTAAACTTAGGTCCCTGGGCGGGACCCGGAAAGAAATGTGCAAACACCAGAAATCAAAGAAAATAAAAATAATAATAATAATAATAATAATTTTATGGGACTTTACAATACACACAGATAGAACAATCAAAGCTAATCGCCTAGACATCTTTATTAGAGACCGAAAACAAAAGAATTACCTTCTTTTTGATATGGCAGTCCTTGCAGACTGCACTGTTTCTTTGAAGATCTTCAAAAAGCTATCAAAGTACAAGGACCTTGAAATCAAAATCTCAAAAATGTGGCAGATGAGAACATCAAAAATCCCTGTTGTAGTTGGAGCCCTCGGATTGATTGGAAAAGATTCCAATAGACTCATTGAATTGATTCCTGGCAGCCCACTGTTCTCACGAGTAGAGCCCACACTTTACGAAGGGCTTTATCTATGTAAAATATGTGTATTGTCTTTTGTTCTTTTTTTGTTTTTGTTTTTTTCAATTGCTCAGTGGAAAATGTCATGACGCCATTTCTGGCCTTAGGTCTTTAGTTGGGACCTGGAAAGAAATGAGTACACACCTTCTGGTGTGTACTCAAAAGAAATGATAATAACAACAACAGCAACAATAATAATAATACTCGACGTTTTAAAGCTAAAAATTTAAAAGCTAGAAAATTTTATTTTAAAAAGCTGTAGTTTTAAAAGTTTGAAGTTTGTTTAAAAAGAGGCAATTTTAAATTAATTGATCTATTGGTTTGAACAGAAAGCAATTTTAAGAGCCGGACATTTTTTTAGTTTAATGAAAAAAGTCATTTTAAAAACTTAATTTATTTTTAGTTTAATGAAAACATGATTTTTTGTTTTTTTGTTTTGTTTGTTTTTTGTTTGTTTTTGTTTTTTCATATTTAAAAGCCGGAATTTCTTAATTTAAAAGCGGACATTTGAAAAAACAGAATTTCTCAATTTAAAAGAAGCCATTTTAAGAGCTAGAATTTCTTGATATAAAGAGGCCTTTTTTGCAAAGAAAACTATGTCAAAATTCAACGAAATAAAACTACTGGAATCGGTAATAACGCAAATACGAAAAAGAAAGACAATAATTGTTTAGCAGCAATGAAAGGAGGAATTTTCGGAATAACTCGACACGATTACTTTAGATAAGAGAACATTTCGCAGTGACATTAATTGAGTTGTTTACATTCAATTATACAAATTATTGTTACCACTTTCTATCATGTGCGCCTATTAATAGAGAGGACAATTTTCAAAGTACAGATTGGGATAAACACTCCTGGATAACATAAAAAAACTCTCTATGATAAGTTATCGATGCAGCAATCAAAAGTCTACCGTGCGATTGGCAATAAGACGAGAAGTGGTGAACATTTTAGAGCTGAAAGCAATTAAATGTCATGTGTATCATTTTAGTGACCTTTCCCTACTTATCTTCTTCAACGACAATGAATCTCATAAGAAAAGCGATGATTATAACCAGGCCTAAAAAAAACTATAGAACTTTGGATGATTGTCTGAGTGGCATAAAGTTTTGATCTTTGTGCTCGATCGGTGACAACAATTGCACCAAAGTGAAGATTAAATCATAATGGTTGCTTTTGCTATGAGTTGAGCGTTTCACCTCAGTGGTATATTAGATCTGTATTGTAGTCTCGTAGCAAACGTTTGATTTGGTTAGTTGAATATTTGTAACATTTTGCTCTAGCAGAATTATCTCCCTTCCATTGCCGATGCCAGTTTGCAATGTTTTTGTTATGACAATCGTGGACTGTTAGAAGCTGTTTACAAAGTCAGGAGATTAAAATCGATTTCGTTAAAAAACAGTATACAACAATAAATGCTAACATATATATATATATATATATATATATATATATATATATATATATATATATATATATATTTATTTATTTATTAAAGACATTTTTTATGTTTAACGTTGTTACAAGTATTTAAGCAAATGCTCTGTTTATGATAAACAGTAATAAATAACATTTACCGGCCTGAATGTCCGAGAAATTGTCGGACCTTGTCCATTTATATATATATATATATATATATATATATATATATATATAATTTTAAAGAAAAACAGACCACTTTAAGGTACCATTATAATAATTTATTTCACCAGAGCCCTTTTAAAGGACGCCGGATCATCAGATATATATATATATATATATATATATATATATATATATATATATATATATATATATATATATATATATATATATATATATATATATATATATATATATATATCATTATATATATATATATATATATATATATATATATATATATATATATATATATATATATATATATATATATATAGTTTTAGGGTGTGCTATATTTACGGGATAAAGTGTTCAATATCAGAAATAGAGCGTATGTAAATTTAAATATAAACGTGAACATTGAAGTCAACACTCAGAGGCGACAGGCTGTTTCATGCTAGACGCAATCGTCAGGCTGCCCGATTGCGTCTAGCATGAAACAGTTTGTGCCCTCGGAGTGTTGACTTCAATGTTCACTTTTATATTTACATACGATCTATCTCTGATATTGAGCATATTGATTTATCCCATAAATATAGCACACTTTAAAACTATATTCCCTCGTGTATATATATATATATATATATATACAAAGAAATAATCACACATAGAATCAATCAGAAGTATTAATGCGATTATTGGTGACATCCATCGCTAGAAACATAATATATGCATTAAAATACTGTTAATCCATAGTGCGAAGTGATCCTCGTCGATAAACTATACATATATATATATATATATATATATATATATATATATATATATATATATATATATATATATATATATATATATATATATATATATATATATATATATATATATATATATATATATATATATATATATATATATATATATATATATATATATATATATATATATATATACATACATATATATATATATATATATATATATATATATATATATATATATATATATATATATATATATATATATATATATATATATATATCAATTCAAAGAATATATCATTTCAGCAAAATGAACAGCTCAACAGGCAAATTCCAAGTTTATTCATTGATTCTGTTTTTACTACAACAATATCTCTTACCCATACTATACAAAACATGTCAAGAAACTTGAAAAAATCAAAACTTTAAATAGCTCGCAAGAAAAGCCAAAATTCTATGCAAACGTTTAAGGTGTAATAGTTATCTTTATCTTTTTGCTCTTCAAATATCCATTTAGCAAAATCAGGTTCATGCACGAATATTAGATGAAGACTTCTTCAGAGAAGAAAAAACTCTGCGCTTACGGCGACTTTCAAATTATCGGCAAATCTGATGCTCACGGGATATACATTGAAGGAGAAGAGAGACAGCGAGAACAACGCCTAACATACTTAGTGAGCTTGAGTAAATGGATGTCGAAATAAGGTTTAGGAAAAATAACAAAAAGACAATATTTATTAAGTGCTGCAAAGGACAGAAAATAGTGGATAGCTATGATCGCCTACGTCCTGACGCTATACTGCACATACAGAAAAACAATCTTAAAGACTATTATTATTATTATTATTATAACGATTTTAATCCTCATTAAGTGGCCTGCATTTTGTACCGTTTATCTAAGTAAAGAAAACGTAGTGAATCTCTAAACGCTCTTAGTCGAAAATCTTCAAAACCATATTGCCTGTACTTACTTATCTTGTTTTTTTGTGGAGGAGGGAGTCTCGGATTAAATCAACTCAGTAGGGTAAACCAGAGCAGTAATAAAAATAAAAATGTGGCACGTATAAGGATCGAAACCCCCAAAAAGGACATGAAAAGGAAGGAGTACAGTATTCCATGGGCGAAATAAAGAATTCTCTTCAATATTCAGTGAGGTTACTGTATAGAACAGTGATCTCAGAAAGTTCCGAGTTTAAAATAATCGAAACATTCTCATAACAAATTCTCTTCTGCATTCTTTCTTTTCTTTTTATGTGCCATGTCCTTTTCAGGGATCATAGCTCTCCACCTCTCTCTATCCATTGCAGCTCCCAGCAAGTTCCTTCCCTCTGCTTCCTCCCCCAGACCACGTTCTGTCATTCACCTGCCTGCAGCCCTGTCACGCGCTGCTTTCCCTTGTCTCTCTTTCCCTCTATTCGACCCGTGAGTATCAGTTTCTCCAGGCCCTCCTTTCTCATTATATGTCCCAGAAACTTCAGCTGCCTCTTTCTGATGTTAAGTATAAGCCTCCTCCTTGTTTGCATCCTCCCTAAGACCTCATCGTTGCTCACACGTTCGGTCCATGATATCCTCAGCATCCTTCTGTAGAATCACTTTCTTTGTCGCCTCGAGTCTCTTCTTCATCTTTGAGGAAATCGTCCAACATCCGCTGTCGTAAAGAAGAACGGATGTCACGTAAGAGCTCAGTATCTTTCGGCATTACTTAATTATAACTCAATACGATAACTGAGGAAGGTACGAGACTAAAGTAATCGAAACGTTATAATAAAATTCGTTAATGATTTCCGGATACAACAACTAAGGAAGGTCCAAGACAAGAGATCGAAATCTTATGTAAAGTTTTCCCTTCAAAATTCTTTAAGATTACTGAATAATACCTGAGGATGGTCCAAGATTAAGGAGATCGAAACGTTATGATAAAAGCTTCTCTTCAATATGCCTTAATGCTTATTGGATACTGTACGTGAGGAAGTAATATAGAGTTCACATCAAAATTCTTTAATAATTACTGAGGAAAGTCCGAGTCTAAAATGATCGAAAAGTTATGATAAAAAGTTCTCAACAACATTCCCTAAAAGTTGCAGACATCTTAGTAAGTTCCTACTACACACTGACAGAAAAGGAAAAGTTATAGTAAAAACAACGATGGTGTGAGTGTAAGTCCAATGAAATCATTGTCTTATAAAGAGAATCTCCCAAGATTCACAACAAATCCCCCTCCTCTCTCTCTCTCTCTCTCTCTCTCTCTCTCTGAGTCTATCTATCTCAAAATCTTTCACGTTTCACAATAATCCTCTTTCTCTCTCTCTCTCCCTCTCTCTCTCTCTCTCTCTCTCTCTCTCTGTATCTATCTATCTATTTGTCACCTTAAAATCTCCCAAGATTCACAACAAATCCCCTCTTCTTTCTCTTTCACTCTTTCACTCTCTTCCTCTTAGTCTATCTATCTATCTCAAAATCTTTCACGTTTCGCAATAATCACAAAACTCTATCTATCTATTCATCTATCCCTCTATCTACTTCAAAATCTCCCAAGGTTCTAATAAATCTCTCTCACTCAACCGCTCTCTATCTCTCTCTCTATATATATATCAAAATCTTCCATGTTTCACAATAATCCCCTCTCACTCTCTCTCTTTCTCTCTCTCTCTCTCTCTATCTATATATATATATATATATATATATATGTCACCTTAAAATCTCCCAAGATTAACATCAAAGCCTCTCTATCTCAATATCTATCTATCTATCTATCTATCTATCTATCTATCTATCTCAAAATCTTCTACGTTTCACAATAATCCTCTCTATCTATCTATGTATCTATCTACCTACCTCAAAATCTCCCAAGCTTCAAAACAAATTCCTCTCTCTCTCTATCTCTCTGTCACTCACTCACTCAATCTATCTATCTATCTCAAAATCTTCCAATTTTCGCTATAATCCGTTTTCACTCTCTCTTTAAAAAAAAAACTCCCAGTGTTCGCAATAATCTTCTTTCTTTCAATGATGGACAGACATATTGAAGGTTGAACAGATATCTGCTTCTACTAAAGTTCGAATCTCTCAACGTCTGTACAGAGTCCACTGAAATCAGTTAAATAAACACTTAAAGCTGAAGTTCATTTTCATCTACCCGTTTTAGTAGATAAATACCGAAAGGTCAATAAAATGATTATCAGGGAAATTGAAAGAGAGATAAGTCGTCGACAGACTCACTGAATGAGCCCATATCTCCGTTGGGGATTGGTTTGAGAGCAAGCACGATAACTTACCAGTCAAAACTTGCGCAGCTGATCGATTAGAAAGTGTTCTTCAGGATTTAGCCATTGGATTTCACAATAAACAATCGGGAAAGATTTTAAAACGAAATTTTCTATAACTTTCCATGAAATAAGCCGTGTTCGGGTTTATTACGAGCATAGATAAATTCGATCTTACTACTATACAGTCTTTATTTGTGCTTGCCATGCAGCGAATATGAACAGTGTGAATCTATCTGAATACAAGTTAATTTAGTTGATTCAATCTTCACAAAGTGTCTATTAAGTAATCGTCTTGCTTCAACTTGATCTTGAAATAGGCTGACTTAATAAATTTATGAGTGATTATTTTCCCTAGTCGTTTAAATAATCTATACAAATAAAATATTTATCTGCATTTAGGCAAAATTACTTCGCGGGCAAAATGAACTGTAATTAATCAGTTTCTTTACTCCTACGTCACGTTGATTGCAGTCTCATTTGTTCAAGCCTTTCATGTGATGCACTCAAGTACCTTTGCTTACTAAGTGATCGCATTGTTTCAACCTGGTCTTGAAATAAGCTTTGTCGTCTCCGTCTTTGTTGCTCTTTTGCTAATCTTTTTCTTCTGAGAATTTTTTTCCATTTCACTGTTATATTAAATGCATACAACGTTTAACATGAAAGGATAGTTTAGTTTTTCCTTCCACTTGTGCTGTTAGGCGTCGCGGGGAGACACAGTCGTCTTTCAGTGGCAAGGGGAGTGCCCTGAAGGAGAGATATCTCGTGAGCTCTGGGAGTGTCTGCCACTGAGTCACTCCAGCATCTTCATGGTCTACCTCTCGCTCTCCAGCCAGCGTACCTGAGGGTCTATTCTCGTAGGGCTGGTTGGTTGATAGGCATATGAGTGAGGTGTCCAAACCACTTGATCCTCTGTCGTTCGATGTGTTGTATGATTGGTATTGCTACTACCATATCTCTTATTGTCTAATTCCTGATCTCTCGCCTGTTTTTTTCAGGCATTTCATCTCACAAGTGATCAGTTTCCTTTCAAGGGCTTTTGTTAGGGGCCATGTCTGGTACCGGTATGTCAGCGTTGGTAGGAAAATGGCATTGATAAGATTAGCCTTGGTACTCAAAGAAATGCTAGGATGTTTTAGAAGAGAAGCAAGTTGGTAATTGACTGTGTTGGCTTTCTGAC